GGGAATATATTTCATTTCCTGAAAAAAAAAAAAAAAAACATTTTAATGACCAATCCCATTAGCTTTTTTTTTTTTTTCATTTTAAACAAAAACCTCACAAAAATTGTAATAAAATAAATGAAAAAATGTATTTAAATATATATTCTCTGAAAACAAGTCTTAGTATTTCATGCATTTTTGCATAAACATAAACGTAAATTTATCTTGCAAATAAATGTATGTTGTTTTTAAGATATTTAGATTACTGGAAAACAAGACTGTTTAGGAAAACAATATTATGCAGTGTGAATGAATCATGAAAAACATGTACAGTATGACGTGTGAAGCTAAAAGCATAGAACAGACAGTCCAGACACATTCAGGGCCATAAATGCATTAATGCACCATACAGACACATTTACACGCATGAACTAAAATGCACACACGTACTAATTCCTGTCTGGATGTGTTAAATTGACACGTTATACTGAGGTAATGACATTATGGTACTGATTACCAAGTAATTTCTGGTAAAAGTGCTAATGGGAGTACAAAAACGCTATATTTGTTCTATCTCATATAAAGGAAATGCTGATATGAATGATGAAGAGGCTAAAGTTTTTCTCATGTCGATATCCTTTGTTTTCTCTCTCTTTCTCGTTACAGTAGTGTTTGTATGCTGTTCTCCGGATATTTTCCGGCAGTTGATGGTGCACTTCCACAGGGCAGGCCTCCCTAAGGAGGAATATGTCTTCTTCTACATTGACATCTTTGGACGCAGTTTGGAGTCCAGGCCTTCTCAGCCGTGGGCCAGAGGAGACCCTGATGATGTCTTTGCAAAGGAGGCCTTCCAGGTGATTAAAGCCTTTCATAAAACATGAGAGAGAATGACAGAGATTAGGAGATACATTTTTAAAAATAGAGATTAGAGATACATTTTTAAAAGAAAAATCATTTTCAGTCATTGAGTATATTTCAGTAAAAATATAAAATAGCAATATAAAATATTTAATTTTTAATATGAATAATATTTGAATAATATAATAATATTAAAACATAATAATAATAATATAACATATTAAGACTTGTTTTCAGAGAAATTATCTTAAATTAAAATAATTTTTATTTACCACTCTCATTTAAAGTAGAAAAAAATTAACAAGATTTATGCCTAACAAGGAAAATACTTAATTCAGTATATAGTCTCCAATAAACCTAATTCTAGATATGTTCTCTTTGTCTGCTCGTCTGTCTTGCTCTGTATGGTGATAGCTGTTGTTATCAGATGTCCTTATTAAATTTGTCCTGTAAGCCCTGTCTGCACAGTAAAGCATTCCATAACATGCATACACACACACACACACACACACACACATATATAT